CCAATCTTCACCCTGGCACCTTCCGATCTTCACCCTAGCACCTTCCAATCTTCACCCTGGCACCTTCTGATCTTCACCCTGGCACCTTCCGATCTTCACTCTGGCACCTCCCGATCTTCACCCTGGCACCTCCCGATCTTCACCCTGGCACCTCCCGATCTTCACCCTGGCACCTCCCGATCTTCACCCTGGCACCTTCCGATCTTCACCCTGGCACCTTCCTATCTCTAGTCATGGCACCTCCAGGCCTAGCTTTCATTTATTGCATAACAACCATACAAGAACAACGAAAATATACTTTACTGGGGTAATAACAATATTACAAATTTCGACTTAATATAATCATTTCTGGCAGAATGCCAAGATAGTCTGAATGGATTGTTGCTGCTTTGTACCCTAATTCAATACAGGTAAATTCAGTGTCCTAAATACCAGGCATACCATGGGGTCATCACTCTATACTATCATGTTTTGTGGCTTGTCACCCCTCCCCCTTCCATGACCTTTCACAGATTATAATTGTTCTACCCACAATACACCTTTTAGACTGACTCAAAATTAATGGTTTGCATGAACTTTGCAACAAGCTACTTCATCAGGTACATGGCCTGTCTATCTATTTTGGTTGTATTGTCCAATACGACTACCACTCTAATTATCTACCCCAATGATAGGATGTACTTTCTGGTTTGACATGCGCCTGTCATTACATGCGATGTTAACATACACATGTACCATGAAGTATACAACTTTTAGTTCCTGTTTGATATCTTTTGATTTGTATTCATAAAATTTCTCCCATTTCTGGGACATACCTGGACTCATTAAACCTACCGTACTTATCCAGGTAGGAGCCCATGCCCGAGGAAACGCCCACCCCCCACTTTTGACACAATAAAGAAGTTAAGGTCATATCCGATCACACGCCCAGGGGGTCTTTTTCTACACAAAAATAACAAAAAAGTATTTTCTATTCGTTGACTGTGGCTGTATTAACAGTTGGCTTTCTTGCAGTCTGTCGTGATGCTTATAAAAATTCTTTAAATATAATTGTTAATTTCCAAAATCATAAGTTAGCAAGTCTATAAAAATATATATTAAAGCAGAAACGGTAATTCTCTTTTTAGTCCCCGTTCGGACGTAGATTTTGTTCAAATTTGGTACATACATTAAACATAATAGGACCTTGATGCACGTCATTTTTTTTTTTCGGATCAAGTTCGAAATGGCCGACTGGCGGCCTTTTTGTTTTACAGAATTCAGTTCTGGATCCGTATCCGAGACATGTCTGGATTGATCGAGTTCAAACTTCACACACACATGGTACATGATGTCACAAATAGATATGTGCATTTGTTTCATGATCCGCTTAACAATAGCTGAATGATAGCCATTTAAAGGTCGAAAATGCATCAAAATCACGTATTTTCACAATTCCGGAACCAGATCTCAGTCATGCATGGATGGATTTTGTTCAGATTTAGTACAATGTGTTGTACATATGTAGGTGCATTTCGGATCAGAACCACTGAAAGTGGTCTGAGATTTCAGTCATGATCTGCTTTGAATGTATACATGTATGTCACTCAAATATGAACGGAACAAGGACATTTCATTGACAATGACTTGTTTCAAATTGGTTTCAAAACGACAGAACGCAAATGTAGGCGTGAGTGGTGCCCTTGCCAGCCAAACGGCATCAAATCCCACTAACTCCTGACAGAATAGTGTAAAAATGTTTGTCTCGCCGGCAAGATCAATACTGCAAATTCGCAAAGTTCATGCCTTTTCGCAATGAGATTCAATGAATATTCATTTGGTGGTCATAGTAACACTGTCAATCAAAGCCGTGTTTGCATCGTCAGCAACAATCACACTGTTTTTAACAAGATCATAAACCTTGGGTGAAAATTTTTAGCACTTATCACACATTATGTCAACAAATAAACTCTGCTGTGAATGGTTACTCTTTGTTGGCTGTCACTATCTGACGTTCCTGCAATTTGATTGGTACAGAACAAATCATCTGGGGAAGTGAAAATCGACACCATTCTGTCAGGCGTGTGTTGGGTTTGGCACACCACGGAGACCACAACTCACACGACCTTGTCAGACTAAGCCATATTTCTTGACACAATCAAATTTTACAACTAAATTGATATATGGCAAGGTATACATGTCTGAATTTGTTATTGTCGTTGTTGGCATAAAACCTTGTTATTGTGGTTACAATAACTGTTTTTATCCAATTTCTTTCAAACTAGGATATTAACCAGTTTGAGATCTCAACCAATTATTGTACATGTTCCATGTTTATTCTTAAAGATATTCAATAAATGTCTCTTAAAATTGTCTTCTTGTGGTTAAAATATCTCAATTTTTATCTGATTATCTTCAAATTTGGGAACCTTATCAATCGCTTTACTGTGTCAACCTAGTTTTGGTGTATCTAACTAAGGCCAGACTTTTATTATCCCTTGTTTCGCGAACCCGCCGAATGAACAGAAGCCGAAAATGAAATAAAAATTAAATTTTATTCCAGCGTAATTTCTCGCGTCCACCGACTTGTAAGTGCAAAAAATTGCCAAAAAAAATTATTTTTATCTTCTCTTTTTTCCGTCCGCCACATAACAATCCAAGTTGCATTTTCGTGGGAGTACCAAGATCAAAGTACGAAAGTCTCACGCAGATCTATACTTTATGCGCGTTGGTTGACAGTGAATCTCAGGTATTGACCTCTCTGCGTCCTGCTTGAGACTACTAGGTGAACATGGCGGCAGCGGCGTGGTTTGTGCCGTGAAACTCTGTCCGAACGAGGACTAATAAACATTATGGTACCATTATTTATATGGTGTTAAGGTAGCGAGAAGGGAAATTTTCACTTTTTTCTTGATTTTTCAAAAATTGATAAAACGGTTACTTTAGACCTTGATACATCACCCCAGGTTTACAAAAGATCGAAATTACGAAATAGCGTTGCTCAAATTAGTGTTTTAAAACACTAGCAGAAAAGACTACAACTGCCGTTTCGTGGATATTTGCATAGTGTTTATCTTTGGAAGGAATTAAATGATAACATCTTATCTGTATACTCTGTTGTTGACGATTCTGATATAACGGGTGATAAGCTTCCAGTTGCAAACAATGCGTGTTTATCTAACGTCCGTTGTCACCATTGTCAGTCGAGACTTCGTCGGAGAAACATGGTCATACAGTACTCATTTCGCCCAACCTTCCGCTTTTACATCGACCGCTTATCGCTTAATTTCCGACCACACGGTCTTGTCCGACCGGAAACCGACCGCATTTTAATCACGTTTTTTTTTTCGCTCGCTCGCTCATTGAAAACATTGACCGCTCGCCC